TGACGCCTCTCGAGCCAATCCTTCACAACGGGTCTTACCGCCGCGATGACGGCGTGCCCGTATAAATTAGCCCCTGCCTACTTTTTCGCTACACGGTATGTGTAATGTTGTAAGTTATTATAAACATTAAATATATTATTAGATTAACAGGCTCTCAAAGTGTATATAGTTAATAAATATACACATTACTTGGCCCAAGACTGTGCATAAACGTCCATGATTATTTAAATACATTTAAGCTGTAAGTATGTGTAATTAACCAATAAGAGCTTAGAATTTCCTAGACATGCAACTACATTATTAGCAATTTCAATCCTTTTCTGATAGAATACAAAATTACACCATAGCTTGTTAGTTTTTAGGTTGAGTATTCTATGACATCGTTTTGATAGTAAATATGGATTAAATAGTAGTTAGCTTACTTAATATATATAAACTCTCTAATCCGACATCTAAACATTCCCACTAAGATATTTAAAGCAAACTATAGCACAACCAGTTATTTGTAACAAACTTTATATTATTAACGTAATAATTTTTGAACAGATTATATTTAATAATGAGGTTTCATAATTGCTTGTCAATCCTCAGGCATGATCTAGTAGCTTCCCCGTCAATATAATGATATTTAATGTACTAGCTAAGCCAGCCGTGGCTTGTTCCGCATCAATGACTATTTTTGCTAAAGAAAAGTCGCTTAAGTAATCCATACTAATATTATAAATGCAAAAGCGTGTCTATCTGTTTGTCTGTCTGTCTGTCTGTTACACCGCTCAACTGATTTAGATGAAATTTGGTATAGAGATAATTCGAGTCCAGGGAAAGGATATAGGGTAGTTTGTATCCCAGAAATCATCCTTTATGGGGGGGTGAAAAGAAGGGTGGAAGTTTGCATGGGGAATCAATAACTGCTCAACCGATTTAGATGAAATTTAGTATGGAGATACTTTGATTCTTGAGGGATACTTTTTACCACGATAACCGACATTCACGCTGGCGGAGCCGCGGGCAAAAGCTAGTTCCTTATTATGTTAACTATATATGCTCCTAAGCAATCGGGGCACCAATTTTTATGGTTATTCGGCATAAGTTTCATGACTTACCTATGCAATATTAGAATTGTTCAAAAAGGAAAGGTCAAATAGCCTTACTTGCATGATGTCCAATAAACTTTACTTTATTTTTTCACGGCTTTAAGCGACCGCGGACATTACAGATATTATGTATGCAGTAACTTGACGCTTTCTTAATGACTTTCTTACAAACTCGATGCTTCTTTGAGATAAAGGACCTTGCTGAAAGACAAACAGCTAATAGACGGACAACGAAATGATCTTATAAAAAATCCTTTTTTCCTTTTAGAGACATGGAAACCTGTACAAGTCACTGTAATTAAACACCTATTTGCATACATTAAAACCACACAAAGTCTGATATTTAACACTCAAAACGTCGATAATTATCGACGTAGTTTGTCAAGCATACCTAATAAGTAACGTCAACGGTAATCTTTATAACGGTTATTACAAGACTAAGAATAATTTATCTGCAAAAAAAGTGGTACATTTATGGATGATACATGGAGTACTGAATCATACATTTCGCCAATTTTGACATGCAAATTTAAATTTAAATCACATTACATTACAAATCAAATTGCATTAAAATTTAACGTAAATAAAAAGTTTATAAAGCCTCTAACAAAGTGTTCGCAGCTCAATGGTTGTAGAAAATTATTATAATACTTTCATTTTTCCCCGTATTTCGTAAGATAACCTAAAAATAATTAACTTTTACTTGTTATTAGCTGAAACTGAGTTACTTGGGTGTGATTTTTTTCAAATGAATGATGATGATATTGTACATAATTGTCAAGCATTAGCAAACAAATCATAGATGCAAGAACATGAAAAACTCTATTAAAACTGTGTTATTCTACTTGCATAATATCCTAGAGATCGCCGTACGGCCGAATTTCGACCGTTTTGAATGTCTTGTTTTATTCAATCGACCAAAATAACTTGAACTTTCACTGTATAGTTTTTTGTTATATCCATATCCAAATATATACTGGAGCTCAATAAAGTCATCCAGTGGTTTTTACATATTTTTAAAATTATAGCATGTATTGGTTGAAATTGTAACTTTCTTGACAATAAAGCTTTACTTGTCAATAAAGTATTTTATTTTGATATGTTTTCCGCACCATATTCGTTTAAAAAGGGGAACCAAGTATTTTCTGTCGCGTTTAGTATTAAGGTACTACTATCAAAATACACAGAGATATATAGCTATAAAGGAGCCAGCTTTCTATGCCAAATAAGAACAACATATATTCAAGTCTAATATACCAGTAAATGGATACGCCTAAACACAATACCCTTCGTTTTCTTACAGGCTTCGCTCCATATATTCCATTTTCTGTCGTGTCCTGTTCACCCTAGTTAAACGATTATAGGGCCTCTCTGCGTCATCGTCCGCGGATAATGTGATGGTCTGTAATAGACTGTCTAGACGCCTGCGGTGGTGAAGTAGCTTTCCTATGAAACGTTTAAAACTTTATACGGATACCTCTTTCTATTTTTAAAATTCTTAGCAAACTTGTTTTGACAGTGATTACTAAAAGGTACTATAAAATCATGAGACATTTAATTTACCGTGTAGTCTATTACATTCGTTTTAAGGACATTTATAAATTTACACCAGTTAATAAGACTCCTGATTCCTAAGAAATAAGAAATACTAGCATTAAAATTAACTAGTTTAACATCCGTAATATTTTTCTTTCGATCCTTGTTTCTTTCTTTGTTTTTTTTATTGTTCTAAATTAGAAATTTTGTTACGACTTAGTAGTCCATGTAAAACTTTATTGAGTTTGACATGTATAAAACACTTGAAAAATGTATACATATAAAAAGTCCCAGTTGACCTCCTAGCCCATTATGCTTAACACTAGCGAATCCTGGTTAACACTTGTCTGACATTTTCCTAATAAATATCGTTCTACGAGTATAAAGATTTTGGTATTAAGTATTTAAAAAATCATTTTATATGCTTTTCATTTGATTTGATTGATTTGATTCAAACAACATAACCATGTCCTTGTGTCGTTAAATATACGTCATCAGACCAAGTTGGTGGTCGGCAAACTTTACCAATATCAAACTATGAACAACTAGTGCACTCAGCTGTTGTTCTTTAGAAACTGTTACACAGGCTATTTTGGTGCGTCTGTTGTCACTTTTAGGCCGCAAGTTTAGAATGAAAATACATTTAACGTAATGGATTGAAGTATGCTATATTAAAATTGATTTAGAAGTCTGAAGTTAATTTTTCTATTTCATATTACATCTTAGGCTGCAAAGCAGTTGGAAATGCTATACTTTGTGCTAATAGCACTTAACAGATGTAGATATCTTATAATATAATAATTTTATCTCTACCGCTTTTAAAGTCCTCCTTATCTTCAGTAAATAAAAAACATGTTGTAATGTGAAAAAACCAAAGCTGAATAATAAAATTTAATGAAACAATTTTGCGCTCCTATTGTTGCAAAAGACACCCCTAATGCATTATTCATGTCGTCCATCCTCGATGTCCATTTCAGGGCTAAAAGGGGCTTAAATTGACCGAGAATCGACGCTCACCCACCTATCTTTAATTTACTTTGTTGAAGCAGATATCAATTATTGGAGAATATTTCAACTGTCAATGTAATAAGTAAAGGTATTATTAACCACAAACCTAAGAGTATTTAAGTGTCATCAAAGTGACTTTTTGTTGGTCCTGCTTTCAAAAGGTACTGCAATGTTCTCAACCAGGGTAATTATTTAAATGATACCTACTGAATCCGAGGGAGGGCGGAATTATTCTGTTGCTGCTCACTTTAGGCCATTAGATTATTTTACATTTGATTGATTATTCGTGTCAAGCTGCTTTTAGACGCTTCTCTACGTCACATTTTTACAGATTACAATTTTTAAACGCAATTTCTTGTTATGGAATGAGAGTGCTTACTATTTTATATGTAGTATGCCAAAAGTATTAATTCCTGTTTATATAATGATATGCTATATTTTTTTTGGTAAACGTGTAAACGGTTTCAGGACAATTTTTTATTTTAATTGCAATTTCATACTTTATGAAAGATTAGACAAATTTAATTATAACTCGTCAGATTCGGTACCTTTGGGTATATTAACTAAATTCTATTAGATCTTTTAATCCGAGTTAAAAATTTAATCAGAACGTGCACACGTTTAAAGAGGACTAAATAAACAACGTTTGCGACCAAACAAGTACTTACGGTCGTTTGTTTTGCGTGAAACAACTACACTTGCGTATTTTAGGTCTGTCTGAAGTAGTCCTTACATAGTGTGTACTTTGCGCCCATAAACAAATATAGATTAAATGTATGAATTAAAGATGACTACACTACTCACATGTGCCAGTATTAGCAAAATATTTTTTCATGTAATTATTTTAATCATAAAATTTTGTAAAGTTGTTATTGAATGCATTTATATTTAGAAGCTATAACTAAATAGAAAATAGCATTTTTTTCTGTCTTTATAAAATATGAACATATATGTGAAAAAATTACATGTCAGATATTACAGCAGATTTGTCGGATCGGATTGACCTGATTAGAGTAATTTTGACTGATTAAATCACTCAAAATAGGAAAAAAACTGTCGGTTAAACACTATTACTATCGGGTTTATAATATTATGTGATTAATAGTAAAGCCATTGTTTATAGGCACCGACAATCACATACCATTTAGAATAATTAGGCAAATATTAGTATAAACCTCGATATTCATATGCAATCTTACGTTTTCGATTTTAATTAAAACTAAAAGCTTAGGAAACTGAAAACAATAGCACTTTATAACAATGGCTATTCTACCTTATCTATAAACAATTTTTTATCAATCTATTTTAAAATCTCATTAACTTAAACCACATGGAAAATTAAATAAACAATGCCTTTTACAGATAACACATTCACCGTGGTCGTAGAGAAAGATGGTCGCGGATTGGGAATGTCTGTTTGCGGAGGCGGAGGTTTGGTGAGAATACGAAGATTGTACCCCCCACAGCCTGCGTGGCGAACCGGCCAACTTGCGCCCAAGGATCTCCTTCTTTCCGCCAACGGAGTACCCCTCGCTGGGCTAAGCACTTACGTAAGTAGCTCATCAGACTGTTCCTTTAAAACTTCATAAGCATTCAGAGATTAACGTATAATTTATGAGAGTTGTGCAGTGAATTCTGCATCCGCCTCAGGCGCCCAAAACAATTTAATCTTCTTACTTTATCTCTGCGGGTATTATGACTTCGGGTCGTGATAAATTCTCACAAATAATGCTAGCATATTGCGCATTTTTTCTTATCTTTAGCACAGCTACCTTACTTACCCGATGTTATTTGCGAGTGCACAGGCGAACATTTTTTATTCATTACAACAGACCCCATAAAATTTAAGTGCGCCAGTCTGCCCTTTTACAAAGCACTGCTTGCATCGTTGTTATGAAGGTACAATCATAAAACACGGTGTCGTGCTTACAAAAATAAACAGTAAGTCATGTTAAAAATGCCATTTGTTGTCGCGCCACTTCCCTTGGCCCGGAGGCTCGCCTATAAACGTAAAAACTTTTATGAAAACTCCAACACGGTCCATGCCGAGGACTCGGGTTCAAATGTAATAAACTGTAAAATGTCTGCCACAAAGTTATACCAAATTATATTAGACTGCTTATACAGTGCGCCATGAAAAATAATCTCATTTGTACAGTATTTCTCGCCTCGTGTCAAGTTACAATCTAAAATTACAATGTTAAGTATAAATAAACCGCGACAATTCAAAGTGTTTTTTAATATATCACTGAGCTTATTATACATAATCGGGCCATTAATTCGCTTTCGTTTCATAAATTTAATCAATTTTAGCAGTTTCCTTTACCTGGGCTGTAGTGGTTTACAAGTGAATGTGTCGACGCAACCCATAATTATATTTCCTCGAGACCAGTATACATATATGCCTGTAGCGCACTGGTCAACTGTTGTTTACGATCTTAAAATGAAGACAGGGTATGCAATCTGCTTAAGTGTGTAAAAAACAAAATGTAAAAAGCTATCACTGTTAATAACATTTTGATTTAAAAAAAAAAATGAATGAGCATAGTTTCATCACTTAAGATAAAGGCTATGCTAATACGTAAGTGACTTGAATTGGATAGTTAAACATGCTTTGAATTCCTCGTTTTCGATTTTTGGCCGGGTAAGCAGACCAATTGAATGAAATCAAACAAATCAAAAGAAATGTTAAATAATTTGAATTCGGAATTCTAAATTGATCACGAGTATAATTTAAAAATTAAAACAGCCCTCAACTCAAGAATTCCTTCAACGATTGGAAAAGAACTGATTATCTTCCAAAGTCTGAACCGGTTTTCAATCACATTTCAAATAATAAATGATTGTGTAATAAAAAAGTAAATAAAGATTTAAATTGAAATTCTTATATTGACATTAGTATTTACAGATGAAAATAATTGAGGTATGAAAGTGTAGGTCAATTCAGTTTAAGTTTACTGTTTCATAAAAAAAACCGAAACAATAACCAAAACTTCTGTCAATGTGACAAGTTAAAATTGGTAAACCATTTGTCAAATTGTTAATGCGCTTTGGTCTCCCACCTCATTGGCTGATCTCATAAATTAGAGCTAAGAACCATCTCAAGTAAAAACGAAAACTCCATTATGATTTACCTAATTGGAAGCCACAGGCAGATACGCGTTGATCCTATTAAACCCCCCTTTTTACGTTGGGGGTTAAAAAGATATCGATAAATTCCAATATTTGTAACTGTTTTTTTAAATAATGAAACAGAGAGATATATAAACGTATGTCATTGTTTTATATATACTATTTATATCACTAAACTGGAAACAGTAAGACTAAATATTTCCATAAAATATCCTCAAGCTTCACACTACTTTACATACTTGAAACATTTGAATACAGTCACTACTGTGTAAGTATACTAGAATAATTTAATTCTCATTTACATAAATGCTGAAAATGAAATGTCGCATATGGAGCGAGCGAAAAAGAAACTGGATAATCGTGAGTCCACCTTATATTCGTAGTATAAAAACTTCTTTTGATAGCTGTCCATCTCGAGAATCGATCCGCGGAGATGTGTGACAGCTGTTAGACAACGTGACTTTACTGGTTACTGTAATACTCTTCCATACATTGATATACATGGGTAACTGTTTAAGTCCACCTGGACACTTAAGGGGGTTGTACTCGTAGTAAAGTTATGCTTGCAAAGGAGATGGCGGCCAGGCTCTGGGACAGGAACATCTGGAACAGTACATACGACTCAGGCGCAGAGGCTGCGACCTCTTGCGCACTACCTCCGTCCTGCACCTTTTGGACGCTTGGGTTTCATCCTAAGAAATTCTCCGGAGTTTAGTAACGATCATGTTTTGAAAGTAATTTATTTGGCATTAGATCGCTGCAAGCTCGAAAGTGCTATGTGTGTGTGGAATCCTATGCTAGAAAAAGTACAAAAAGTACAAAAGTTCCTTAGATGTAGAGATCTACAAGTGTATCTACTGATACTATCCATCATATAAGGATAGTATCAGTAGATACACTTGTAGATATTTCTATAACTATAAGATAATTTTTAGAGTGAAAGTTGATGCACCAGACCTGCATGATGACTTATCTCGATTTTTTGGGCCTAATAACTACATTCGCAACCGGGCTCATATTTATGTTGTTTGCCGTACCATCATGTCGCACCGTGGCGCGCGCTAAGTCACCTATACCGCGCACTCTTTCTGCACTCAACGCTCTCCACGCGTACCAATCCCGACTGTGATTTGTTTGCGGATGGATTCCCGAATATAACCTTAGTTTGCTCGCGATTCTGATCAGGAGGGATGATGTTTATTTTTATTTATTCTTTATTTTTGTTTTCATTTGTTTCTTTTTTTGTGTTGGTGTAAATATGTCTTTAATTGTAGAACGGCGCGGGTTCGTCGGGGTGCCAGGCATTTCCTTTCTAGGGTACACCTGGTTCCCCGGATACTTGTACCCGAGACGGCGTGCGGTTTTTGGTTGGTTTGAGTCCGACATAACCACCGGCGGGTGGTATCAGAGGGGATTCCCGCACAGAAAAAAAGGGGTTGTCGTAGCCATTATTACTAATAGATTTCACAATGAAACATCATATCCTAAAGCTGACCATTTTCAAGATATTGGACTTTTAAGATTTTTTATAAAATAAATCCTCATTTTTTCTTTTTTTTTTTACTTTTTTTAAGTGGTTGTTTAAGTCTTTTATTATTTCCATAACCAAAATTGTAGTTAGAGCAGTTTTGCTCCGAAGTAGATGGTTGATAATAGCAGGAAGAAATAAATTTGTTTTTTTTTTTTCTTTAGCGAATATTTAAAAAAACCATAACAGTTCCATAACAGTTCCAAAAACCATAACAGTTCATAGTAGTTCATAGAAAAAACTTAGATGAATGACCGGGAGTATTAGGAATTAGCGTAAAACCCGATAGCACCTGTAATTTTGGACACTTGGTGTTTGTGGACTGTTTCCTTTTCTATTGACTAGTCTATCTATCGATGTGATGATGTGATTATAAAAATAAATTTCCAATTATACAGATAGGCGGCCAAAAAGGCTTTCTTGTAATGTATGGATTATAGAAAGGAACGGAGCACAAAAAGACGGTTCCAATAAATGGAATCGTTAAAGAGATTTCATTGTGCTTACCCTCACAGTTATAAGTAATAAAAACAGTTTTCGCGAAATTTAAGTACAGTAATAAAAGGATTCCAGTCTTCGATTATACACTTTTATGTGAGAAAGCGTTATTAGATCTTACGCTTCTTATATGTAATGTAATGTAATGTATAATGAAGAGTTCTCAATTACGATAGATACTCATGTTATCCAAACTCAAAAATGGTTGTTCCGATTTAATAAAAATATATTTTTGAGAATAATGTACAGTTGATCTCAATATTCCTCAGATCAGGATCAGGCAGGCAGGCAACACACGGATATCAATATGACAATATCAACATCCCATTTGCTAGCTTATGGCCCGCTATAATATAACCACTAAATAATGATCTACTAATATGGCCTATGTCCAGTAGTAGACTACTAGATGATGATGATGAAAAAAATCCGATTAGTATAACGTGAAATTCAGAAATCATTACGATATTTACATCCACGATTTCATAAATAATTAAATTTCTCATTGTTTAACAGCCTTCAACAGAAGTAAAACGGGCATTGGAAAATGATAAATCACGTTTCACAAAGTACAAGAAAAGTTTTAGTTTCAAGTATTATATTCTAAACATAAATTGACAAAAGTTTTGCGAACAATTAAATATTTAGCAAATGGCATTATAAACTTTCGCTTTTATCACCCAAAATGATTCTGTAAATTGTTTGAAACAAAACGAACGCAATTTTTATAATATAGTAGCAATATGCTAAAATAAAGTCGTTATCTAAAGTTATGAACGATATTGGCTCCTGCCAAAATAGTATTCATTTTCGCCTACCATATTGATTTTATAATAATAAGAAACTTATATTATTTATTCACTCTGCCCAACGGTTGAGGAACATGTCTGAACGTTATAAATAAGATCTTATTAATGACTTGGTCCATAATAGATTAATTGTTATACAATATGGGATCAAAATCAGCCAGTCTGTTAGGTAACACACCGGGAATCGGCTTATGGTATAGTGAACTCGTTGACTGGAAATCGGCTTAGTTAGAACAGAAACAATATAGGGACGTTGAACTGCTATTGTTTCCCCACAGGATAAGAGGGTAACAAACAAAGTTGTTTTTCCTTATCCTAGTTATACAAAGGTGCACTTTAACTGCCGCAGTTCGTTTGCACTGCAGTTTTTTTATTAAAAAATAGGGAAGTCAGAATTACAATGTGTTTTTGTTAAGTAAGTGATTGTAAAAAGCTAATGCTAACTCAGCAGGATCATTAACCACCATACAAACAGGTCAGTTCATAAAATTAAATAAGGTTTTATACTAATAACTTTCATTAGTGGTCTATATTTATTACTGACTACCTACTTTATGCAGATGATACGAAGATATTCAGAGCTATAACAGGAGTGGCGGATTGTCAACACTTTCAAAATGCTTTATTGTCTTTGTCTAAGTATTGTGCTGACAACCAGTTATTCCTAAACTCAGAAAAATGTTTCGTGATGACTTATACCCGCAAACGAACGAACGTATTATTTGATTATCACATCAACGATGGTTATTTAAAACGAGTACATACAATTCGAGATCTAGGTATTGAAATGGATGAAAATGTTTCGTATAAACCACAGATGGACAGCATTGTACGTAGGGCATTCAGAAGTTTGGACTTCATAAACAGAATTTCTAAACCTTTCAGAAAAGAAAATACCCTAAACATTTTATATTTTAGTTATGTACGGTCAATTCTTGATTTTGGTTGCACCGTGTGGAATCCCTATTACAAATGTCATATTGATCGGGTAGAAAAGGTTCAATAGAAATTTATTAAAATCTTAAATTATCGCTTCCACAATTCAGATCTATCATACACTGAGTCATTTAATCAGAATCATCTTCTTTCACTTTCAAATCGTCGTAAGCAGTTTGATCTAATTTGTCTATATAAAATTCTGAATAATAAAATAGCTTCGTCGTCTCTTCTTTCCAAAATTAACTTTATAACCAAAGCTCGGCTACCGGTCCGTCCATCCCGGACACTAAATATCTTCGCTCCCCCTAAATTACATAAAAATTACACTTGCAATAACTTTTTTACACGCTCACTTAATATATACAACAAAGACTTCAATAGTATTGATCTTTTTAATAACTCTTTGAACAATGTTAAAAAAATGTCTAAACGTAAATTGTTAACATTTACTTAGTAATGTCGTAATGTATGTATGTCTTTTAAACCCTTTATTTTCTTTTTTGTGTCATTTCCACAGGTTATTTGAGTCTAACGCTCTGTGAAATGTACTACATTTATTTAAATCCATTCTTGGGTACTCCTTGTCTTTTGTTCAGTGTATTTTTATATTGCTTTATGTTTAATGACTGTTTTGTACCAATATAAATGAAAAAATAATATTACAGGATATAGAAAATTTTGTGAGTTCAGTGCAGAACTACGCATGTAGTTGCCAGAGGGACAAACAGTAAAAACATATATATAAATATATTATCTCCTCTATGACATATGCTATTTGCTATATTCAAAGTTTACTTTTAGGACATAGTGTGACATATATTCTTCTCTGAGATTTTCTTATCCCTTTACCAAAATGAATCAGAATAAACTTTAGACAAGTCCTTCTCCAAGAGTATGTTTATCTTAATATCAAACGTAATCAAAATAAACCTAACAAGTAATTGGTGTTCCAACGCAAATTTTGGTTCCCCCAACTTTATGTCGACTAGAACATCCCTAAGTTGTGTTTATTAAAAAAAAAGCTCCGGCAAATTATTAAACTCTTCAACGTGTTCATAAAAAAGTTGGAAAGTAGAATGTCGTGTCTTTTTGTGGACTAAGGCGCTTATTTTTATGTTCGCTGAATTTTTGTATATGTAGCGTAGAATAAGATGTAAAAGTAACTAAATACGTAGTAAGTAACTATATACCAGTATACATAATATATGAAGACATCGAATGTACCTAACTTGACTAAATTTAGACTTTATTCCATATTTAGACCATATTATACAATTTATATTGCCATGAGATGTACACTATTATTGTATTGTCATCGGTTCTTGATAAGTGTGCGAAGTTTAAATCCATCCATACAGGTGAAACTAATGGGTGTTACAAATAGGTTCTTTTTTTATTTATATTAGAATTCCTATAATATTGAAGACAGATTTTAAAGTAAGACTTCTTTACGCACGCTTGACTTGGGGAGTAAGCTGGTGAATGCGTGACGAGAGCGTTGCGAAAGGTGTGATCGGGCGAGGCGAACGGAAGTTAAGAGGGAGATATAAGCTGGTGAAGATAGAAAGAGAGAGAGTTACGTTTAGTATATAACTGTAGGGGCAAGAGAGAGAGGTCTGAGAACACATTTTCTTTCTCTCTTTCTCTCATAGCCAAGAAGTTTTACTTCAGTCGTGTGATCTAAAGCACACTCGTTTTTTTTCATACATCCATCTCATACTTAATTTTTTTCTCATATCCAGGAAGCGTTAGAAGTCCTCCGAACAGCGGCAGCACGAGTAGAGCTTCGCGTTTGTCGACCTCCACACGACGTGCTTGATTCGGTCACGCCGCCAGACCCGCCCACGCCACCAGCGCGCACGCCGCACCCTCCGCACTTGCCACCGCTCGACCCCCTCAACTGCCACCCCATGCATGCCAGGTAAACGACACTAAATTTTATGAAGAATAAACCTGTATATACCTTTATTATATATCCTATATTGTAATCCACAACAATATAAACATAGTGTCAACAAAATAAACCTAAAAGTTGCGTATCCAAATATTTTATTGAAAATCTAGTTCCGATGTCTAAAAGATAAACTTTCCTCTACTTCCACTGGCACTTTCATCAGCATAAACAGCCTATAACAGTCCACTGCTGCACATAGGCCTCTCCTTGGAAAAGAAGTTTTGGCCTACTGGAACTTTACTAGCGACAAATACATAACTTACCTATGAAATAAAGTCACTTACAAATCTTGGGAAAGCAGCAGATTTGGCAGGTAATGCATTTCCGACGACGACGAAGGCATTTAGAATTGTAAGGTGTTAATCTGCACTCGTAATATTAAATAACGGAGGGGAGAGGGGTCTATGAATCCCCGGTCGGAACGACGTTCCTTTCGCTTTGTGATATTATATCTTATAATAATATACTATATTATATTTTCATTACAATATTGTTGAGAATAGGTACCTAAGTTATAGATGGATAGGTAAAGTTTTTAATTTAATTATCTCCAGTGGAACATAGATCCTTCTTCTTTTTGAAGTCGGTTAAAAAACTCCACTGGTACACGGCTATCTCAGATGGATAACTCACAGTAACCATTTTTATCTTTTATCGTCCCGTGTGGCAGTGTCAGGCAGGATCGGAGCGGGCCAATAGCATATAAAGATGTCCTGTGGTATAATCCTATCATAATATTAGTATAATTAATTACGGCGGATCGCTAGTAATTATACCGCTCCGTTCCGGCCAACCATTGCCACCCGGGACGGACGTACGGCCCGATGACGAACCCGGCGACGTCCACTTTGCTACCACATGTTAAACCTCTAATATCTTCTAAAATATTCATTTTAATGATATGCTTTAAAGAGCAATTTTAATCTACATTTAATGCAAAACGTATCTAACGTATTTCATATGATAAGGAATAATGATGTCTTCTTCGTAAATAAGCCATATTTTATTTTGTAAAATATTACAGATAAAAATATATATTATATACTTTTTATAGACTTTTTATAGGTCTTTTTAAGATATATAATTACGTAGTAAATTATTTTGAACTATCTCGTAACGTTTAGCCAGCTTTTGCAATGTAAGCCCACAAAAACATGTTTTTTTAACAAATCTCTAAAATTATCGGATTTCCTCTACTATAATATGCATGTATTATAAATATAAACCTTTCTCTTGAATCACTATCTCTATTAGTGAAAACCGCATTAAAATCTGTTGTTTAGTTTAGAAGATCTAAGCGTACAACGCAAAAAGGCGACTTTATACTATGTAAAGATATTTCATCATGTGATAATAAAATTTTCTCCTCAAACGTTGATTATACAACAAAAGTGACAGGTAAGATTGTAAAGCTCGCTCACAGTGACATAATATGATGCTATTTACTAACAACTTCTTAGAAAACTTTTCTGAAACAAAATTTCCCAAAAGTTGACAGGAAATCGGCTTTGTGAGAACAGAAACAAAATAGGGACGTTGAATTGCTATTGTTTCTCCACAGAGTGTAACAAACAAAATTGTTGTTCCTTATCCTGGTTATACAAAGGTGCACTTTAACTGCCGCAGTTCGTTTGCATTGCAGTTTTTTTTATTAAAAAAAAATAGGAGAGTCAGTGTTTTTGTTAAGTAAGTATTTGTAAAAATCTTATGTTAACTCAGCAGAAAACCACATTACAAACAGGTCAGTCCATAACATTAAATAAGGTTTTACACTAAAAACTTTCATTTGTGGTTTATATTTATTAAGAATATAGGAAAGAATATTCTATTTGGTATATTTAAAGTTTGTTTTTACAACATATTGTGACATATGTTCTTCTCTAAGGTTTTCTTATCCCTTTACCAAAATTAATCAGAATAAACTCACGACAAGTCCTTCTTCAAGAGTTTGTTTATCTCAATATCAAACTTCATCAAAATAAACTTAACAAGTAATTGGTGTTCCATCACAAACTTTGGTTCCCCATTCGAGGTTTATTTTCCTTTCAAAAAGTGGGCTAGTTTAGCATGTCTCGTGGTCTAAATGTGCAAATGACTAACAATGTTTTACCAAAGAACAATTGATTTATTATACCCACGCTTATATTAGATCACCAACCTAACTTTATGTCGACTAGAACATTTTTACATTACACAGAACACACGTTAAAATAGTTTGCAATGTAAGCGCACAAAAACTTGTTTTTTATCACAAATCTTTGAAATTCTCGGTTTTCTCCTAAATCTCTCCCTTGAATCACTCTCTCTATTGGTGAAAACCGTATTAAAATCCGCTGCTTAGTTTAAAAGATCTAAGTAAGTGCGTGTGCGTACTATACCAAAAAGTGTCGGAAAAAAAAGTCATGTTTCACATTTCATTCCAGCTCTCATCCGCTCAAAGAAAAATATTCTGCCTTATTAATTTTATCAATTTTCAAAATTCATTGGTGTTCCACTTTGTATTCTGATATCTACTAATACTACTAGTAGTACTTTATTAGAAAAGGATACAAAGGTTTTTCAAAATATTTTTATGGCTAGCCGAAACCGCACTTACGTATTAATGAAAGAATTTTCAACAAATTTTATTTCTTATGGCGTTCTAATTCCAAACAGATTACCGTTTTTGGTGTGGCCTAACAGAGAGATTAAATTTATTATTATTATTTGTCTATTGTTTATTATTTAATTATTTTACTTTTCAATATAAACTGATTAGCGTTGAATCGTAGGACGATAGATGCCGCATAGATATATTAATGAGCGATTGCTTTGCGAAGCTTTTAATCGTTTGGTGTACTGTTAACAAATTAAAACAGCTGGTTATCTGACTAACACGTCGATATTATAAGATTTTTCTTCCATTTCTGGCTGAACCATAGCTTAGTTGTTTTTAGCTTTCTCACTCTTATTTGCTATTTTTTATTCTAATATGTTTTTCGGCCCTTGCGCTAAAAATAAACAATTAATGCCTAAGTAGAGTTTAATTTCCTTTATCATTAATCTATCAAGTATTGGAAAATGTGATTTCGTATTTTAGGTTTTGTTTTTTTTTAAGATGTTTGTAGTATAAAACTCATTTGAATTTAGAATGGGGAAGAATGGTGTAGAAATCAGTATCGTTACGTCATACCTAGCTATTGTCAATGTTTATTTCTAATGTTGATTTTAAGATATCAAGAAAATAAAAACACTAACTTGAAAATGGAGGACAATTTATGCTGTACACTAACGCGACCGTTTTAGTCGTAAAAATACCGAATTTCATAAGTGGACACGGTAAGGGGCAGCTCACATTACGAAGGTTTAGAGGCAAAACTTGTGGTAAACATACATTATGCCAACCAACCACGTAACACGCTCGCGTCATTTGTCCCCTCCAACCTTCCCCCCCCCCCCCCCCCCCATCCCACGCTCTAAAGGCACTCATGTCGTGCATGATAAATAAGTTAAACATACTAAAGTACACAAATTTATGTCTACTATCCATGTTATCGCACAATACCTCATCTCATTAAGGACAGGTAAATAAACCTCCTTGAACGGTCGCTGACATAAGATTTAAGAAATTGTAACAAGAATACTTAGTTTATTTCGCGGTGATTTGAGATAATATTATCATCAACAGCCTTTATTAGAAAAAAAAAATCAGTTTAAACATCTCTGTACCTGTGTCTGTCGATATTAACTATTATACTACTATTAACAACTATAAGTAATATTAACTACTATAAATATTTCAATTTTACGTATTTATTTCGGTTATGTTCGCAAATGCCGCCCGAGTGCTGGCCCTCAGCTACATGTCAGTCCTCCTCAGGGAGGTGATCGGTCGATTGTGTCCTGCTGATTCGGTCGCAGCCTACAGGACAAGGACGAGACGGGTAAATTGTTTCAGAGGGTCCTCTCTGCCCGCATCGTCCGGCACCTAAACGAAGTGACGGCCCGAGGGGGTTTCCACACGTAAAAAAAAAAGTGTTCGCAAAATTTAATAATATACTTATGATTACACCCATTAAAATACATGTTTCTCGTTTACCTAGAAGCTATAAAAGAAATTTGTCTATTTTTATTTAAATGTTTAATTTCGGTCTCGCAATTCTTTTGAAATAATCAAATAAAATGTAACGCCCTTCGCCGTAATAATATACGTACGTTAAAAATAACTTCAATTTGGTCAAAAGTATTTAGGTACCAACTGGTCTTGTCATAAACGGTTTTCCTTTCGGAAATTAAAATAAAAAATCTGCTCAACAATGACAGTATTTGTTTAGTAACAGTGTCACAAAATCTCAAAAACCACATGTCCAAGTGACAGCGACCGTGACAGGTGATTTTCTTTGAGACAGAATTTATTCAACTGGAACACCGTGTGATGCAAAACTACTTGATTTCGAAAAAACTATTTATAAAGCTATTTATACGATATTGCTATGTTGTGTGTTTTATACACTTTACTACCGACTGGTACCGTATAAGGCGTTTATTAATTTATCATATGAAATCAATGATTTTTAACTCATTGTCTACAAATCCAATGGACAAATTAAGAATATGAAACTACTATCTTGTACTGCCTTTCACAGTTTATATTGTTTTATATCAGCAAAATCGGACGAACGTGTCTCGTGAATACGCTGTGTCATCAGTATTAGATGTTGAATAGCAAACATTTGATTAGCAACCTTTGACATTTGATGGCAAACCTAACTACATACTCGTAGATCTACCGTTATTAGAGTACTCAGTATCAGTATGGTAGCATTGTATTGTAAAGAATACCTGAGTAGGTGGCAAACATACTCGTAATAACTATTGCCTCTATACTTATGACTTGTATACAGAGGTATACAAATCATAAGTATAGAGGCAATAGTTATTACGAGTATGTTTGCTATACTTATGTAGGTTTTTAACTTGTGTACTTATGACTTCTACTGTTAATATAATCCACCTTTCAATTTACCGATTATTAATTATTCTGTGTAGTTTATGTTGTTGATTTAATTAGAAGACGTTGTAAACTCGATTATAGTCGTACGAGTACACATTTATATTTACTCGTAGTTACAAGTAAGTAGATTACTGATTCTGTTTTAATCTTCATTTAGTTATTCAAGTAATGTAAGAATTGGTGTAGATTCGTGATGAAATAGGTCGTCAGTCAGTATCATATACTTAATTAAATTTTATTTTGAATCTACTGTAAAAAAAAATACAATAAGTACAACGACAACAGCAGACTGCACGGATGGGGCGTAGTGGTTTCAGCGGTCGCCACGCCAATTACTACTACTCTGAGTGTTGTAGGTCCGTTCCCCACATGGGACGACACTTTATGTGATCCACAAATTATTGTTTTGAGTCTAGGTGTTGTTTTTGTCCGTTTCATGTATGATTGTAAAGTCCCCTGCGACACAGGATACATTCCTAATCAGTCCTAATGTTGTCTTTATAACGAAAAATATGCAACAGTTGATACTTTGATTTCGGTACTATACCAAATAAAAACTCGACTTTAGGAATTCTATTCCTTATTATTATATATACCATTCCTTCACGAAAGAAACTCCCTGTGCCGTTTTTTGTTTAATATGCCTTATGTGAAATATGTTTCACTATTTATTATTTTGTTCAAACAGGCTGTCTCAGACGACGTCCAGCGCGACGACGTCATCATCAGAAGGACGTGGGCGTCGTGAGCAGAGTCCTGAACCAGATCGTCGGGATCTGCGGCTACCAGACCTCGACCGACCAATGCCGGTCTACGACGTACAATATGGGGTGAGGACATTAAACGAACCGCAATATAACTTTAGTTAACCTTAACTGGTAAATAGTACCTGTATATACATACCCAGATACAGTATTTAAAACAAGTTATGGAATATTAAAGTCAAAGAAAGCCCAAGGGAAAGACTCGAGGGCCCAGAATAAAAAATCTGACGATGAATAATGAGGAGAGCCGACCCTAAATGAAATGAGACAAGGCTTGGCGAAGAGAGAGTTTGAATGAAATGATCATAATGTCCTTAAGTGCTATTTGCTTAAGTTTTTGTTGAAAATGAGTTAATGATATTTATAGTTTAGGGTTAGTCATGATTCAGATGCGTTCAAAGAGTTAATAGAAATTGTAACTTGTACGTGCACTGCAAGAATTTATTCAAATGGAATATACATCGACTTATGAAATTAATAGAAAGAGTATTTATAAGCGACTTAACTAGTGTATTTTCTACCAACAAAACAATTTATTTTTCTGCTAAAAACAACTATAATAAACCTTTTCTTGCGACAACACACATAATTTAATAAACACAACTAAATATTAAAAAGTGTTTTAGACTCAAGATATTAAATATAAGTAGGTATACTGTTTTTAGAAATCTGTGATTTCGGAAAGAGGGTGTGCCGAAACACCGATATAGGAAGTTCTTTTATCTTTAAGTTTTTATGAAGGGTGTAAATTTCACCCACCGATAAAAGGCCCTGAAGAAACTGATACTTGTCGAGTTTTATTTAATAAATATAAAAACACGAAAGGCTTTTTTTTAATATTTTAATGATATTCAATTAGCAATTTCCATCAAGATATGTACATATGTAGTAGTAACAGTATCATTAAATTTAAAGCTAGATATTGTCGTGGCAAACAAACATCTTTACACCATCACGTCCGTGGCCAATTCTGAATTTAAACCATCTAAGCACGCATTAAAAAGTCAGTGATAATGGTGGTTAATTTATTAAATATCCTTAAAGTATTTTCGTCATATGAGAAACCAAAATGGATATAAAATCTATACCGTAATCCATTGGTACCTTTGTATGTGATAAATGTATAATTCGGTGGGTAATTTGATGGTATTGCATGAATGAAATATAATAATACTTATGTAAGACATGGATTTCATAACAAATATAAGACTTAATTTATGCATAAGTGAAATTAAAAGAAATTTTAGTTGACTTAATGAGATCACATCATCATCACATCAACAGCCTTTAATAGTCCACTGCTGGACATAGGCCTCTCCTTAGAAAGAAGGTTTTGGCCTACTATACCACGCTGGCCAGGCGGGTTGGTATAGGGTTTGTGTCAAGTTTTCCGTCTTTTTGCAGTGCTGGTGTCCTGCGTTGTTTTGCGCACTTAGTCGGTTCTTACGACACCCACGGGATGAATTGGGGTAGTGACATTCCGTATTCTTAATCCGTCACTACACGGACATGAGATAATAAAATAAAACAATTTCTCTTGGATTCGTCTCTTTTAAAGTGATTTTATCAATTTGATTCATGTACAAAAAAACGCTTATCTGGATAGATAAAGTTAATTAAGAAAAACTAAGAAGATTTTAGATTGATGAAGTGTTTAGTTCATCTTTGTTATTCTTCAAATACGTCGTCAACGAAAAGGAAACCAACCTTTAAATTTATGTATGAGTATTTAACGTATGAAATAAAATTTTCCCACTCAAATTCCAAACTAATAAAGGCTAATAAATATAAAGTTTCACACATACCACAAATAACTTGATCAAGTACTTTTCAGCATTGAGTAACAAAACATTATAATCGTGGGATCGGTCATGTAAGTCATACCATTTATTGTTAACATGCTCATGAATATATTTACCAAGGTATATGTTGAACGTACAGAAGACGTAATACAATCTGAGCAGGTTATTAATAAATCCTCTTTGTTTAACGCCTACAGGATGACGGATCAGTGGTGAGTTCCTTTAAGTAATTTTGTATGGAAATTAAGTGATGTGTTAAGCTTTAGCTGAATGGGGACGCTCACAATCTGCTCTAATCTGAGAGGGTGTTTAGGAGTTACAATGATAAATAGGTGTTAGTGTATAAATGTACGTAAATTCATTAAACATGTTTGAGCTATATTACACTTACACTGGATTATTTTAAGATTTAAATTATTTGGTTTGTGAGTGTTACACTATGTGTTAATTATATGTTATACTAGTGGATATAGTTAATATCGCCAAAAAGCAATCGACTTAAATATACTGTATCAATATCTACTATTTATGTCTAAATATGGTTTACGTGTAAAACACAGGGATGCAATACCGTAAAAGTATTGCTAGCATTAAGTTTTAAATGAAAATAACATAACATACTCCAAACATACTCCTCCTTGAATAGCATTAAATCTAGATAGTTCTTTACAATTTTCCCAAAACCTTTAAATCTCGAACAATTCCTAAAGCCAACAATATGACAGCTGAACAGAAATATGAATAACAGTAATGTATGCAGCGTGTCATGTAACCGTGATACCTAGTTAGTGTAGCGTGTCATGTAACCGTGATACCTAGTTAGTGTAGCGTGTCACATCAGGCCTGAACTAATGACTCAACATGGAAAACATTCTATGCCAAACATTAGAACATTGACTAATGAACACGAGGTAATTGTTATTCCTACAGCTATTATACAAATTTACCCACGCTTTCGTTTGACGGTAAAGGGCGTAACATAAAAGACGTGGTACACTTCTTGTTTATGGGAATGACATCTATGTACGGTCTTTGTTACAATGAGAAAAGTTGCTTGTGTCTTATGAGTGAAGATGTCATCATCTTTTAAGTATAATAATTATAGGGGAATGCTTGCATACTTGTAATGGAGCATAAAAGCATACTGCCTGCCTAAGGTTGCAGGTATACGATCCTGGTCTGTTGGACCTTATACTCCCCAATCCGTCCGCAGCATCAATTATATATAAGCAATAGTATTAAATAGGCGTTTTAATTCGCTTCTGCTACCCTTTTGTTATAAAAGCGTCAGTATATGTCTGTCTGTAATCATAGAACAATATGTATTTAGTTTGCAACACTGACTCGTAAATTCTTTGTAGAAGTGATATGTTTGACCTCAGATCCCAGAAACCACCAACTTACTGCTACTTATAATTTAATTATTTTAATAACTATATTTAATCCTTTTAGGAATTCGACATAATAATGACGAAGGTGAACGGTTCCTTGGGATTCACGCTCCGGAAGGAGGACCACAGCGCATTAGGGCATTACGTCAGAGCCCTGGTTCGAGAACCAGCACTTAGCGACGGGAGAATTCAACCCGGTGATAGAATCGTTGCTGTAAGTATACTTTCAATTCAAATATTGTAAATGGAAATATATTTCTACTTCTTAACAAAATCGCATTACTCTTTTGGAATGTGTAAATAAATACCTATGAATTTTTTTCAAACCAATATAGTTTAATAATTAACTTGTAAACAACTGTCACCTATCACGATAAATGGTAGTTAAATTATATTCATCATCTTACACCGAATTTTATGGGGGATACTGCCCCTTCAAATTTGAATGGGACTAAACGGGATGTATTAGGCAAGTTTCCAAATAAAGAAGTACTGAGATAACAAAACAATGCAACGGAATTGAGAACATGCTCCGTTTTCGAAGTTGATTAAAAATAATTCGACATGTGAATCACTCTATAGAAACATAAATATCTACTAAAAATGAAAATTGAAGAGAGAAACATTTCAAACAATATTGTTCCATTATATCTGTTCTATATTGTTTCATGTTCAATATTGTTTCGTGCGTGTGTTCCATGTATCTACACGTACCTCCATTTTCACTCCGAATACATTTGATCAACTAACCGTTACTACATATATTTGTAAATTGAGAAGAACTATCTAAATGTAACGAAGTACAAAAAATACTTGTTTTGTATCCTACTTGTAACACTTTTTTTTATTCAAGTAATATTCTATTCTCTTGACATAACACATATCATCATCATCATCCCAACGCAGTCCACGGCTGAACATAGGCCTCTTAGATTGCATTCACTTTGATCGATTTTGGGCTTCTCGCATACAGCTCCTGTCAGCCATCATGCGCAAATCGTCACTCCACCTGGCTCATGGGCGTCCTAAACTACGTTTGCCAACTCGTTTTCCCCAACGGTTGTCGGTTCTGCGGCTAATATGGCCAGCCCCACTTCAGCTCACATAATTTTGAATAACTTCGAGAACGGCACCGTGTACCGCAATCGGTCCGGGTAGTACATGTACATCGAACATGACCTTGCTTTTTCCAAGTTCATCCGTATCGGCGCGTACAGAAGAGTCAGCTAGGTCATTCAATATCTGTTGTAGGTCCGGCAGCGCCCTGCCATGATGACGATGTCGTCTGCAAATCGCAAGTGAGAGATCTATACGCCATTGATATTGATGTCCTCCATTGCATATATGAACATTTTCGGGGAATAACGTCCCCTTGTCTCACTGACGGACATGGTGGCGGCTACGTAGAGCCATTTCATCACTTAGATGTATCGCCAATCTACTTGGCAACGCTACAGAGACATATAAAGTATGATGAATCGAATAATTCTTTTCAAAGAGTTCTGATTGAATAATTGATGTGGATAGCATATTCGTACATAGGCTAATGGGCAGATAGACTAGCTTTATTAATTAATATTTTATAGAATATCAACTCAAATCCTCCTTCACTCACATCATATACTTTAAACTAACATTTGGGGTATTATGAAGTGTGTTTCGTATATTTAATTTGACGGTACAATATTCGTCTATTATACAAGCAAAACACCCGCTTGAGTATTGTTTAGTGAGTATTTAAAGCAGATAGTATAAATAATATACCGCGAAGCGAAGAACACTTCCGTATGTCTCAAAGAAAGATGTGTGAGTTCTCTTTTCTTACTTTGTTAAAAAATATTCCAGAAGACATTTATATGAAAATATTTAATGTAATAAAAATATTTCCCTGCTACTGCCCTACTTAAATTACAAAAGATTCTCATTTCTTTACTTTATTGTGATATTAGTTGCAAGAATTAGGATAAAGGGATTACGAACCATGTGTATTAATTTCTAATATAGTTCAAAGAAAAAAGAAAAGTTAAAAGAAATTAAATATAGCATGTAATTTCATCCACAATATGTACAAGTGTGTATCAGAGTGTGATTGAGACGAAAGTTTTGGAAAGCCCTACATCAGATACAACATAATTGTAACATAATGTGACCCACAGGTAAACGACACGCCGATGTCTAACATGTCACACGCCGAAGCTGTGTTGTTCTTACGGTCGTGCGGGAGTGAGGTTCGCCTGCGGCTGTACCGTGACCACGCTGCGACGCCACTCTCACCCATGTCACCGAGAGATGGCGCTACCGACTCAGATGCACCTATGCACAGGCCTAAACCCCCACTGAGGTTAGTTAGCAAGAGAAACAAATCCCCTTTAATAAATTTGAGCTCAGTCAGTGTTAAGGTTTTTAATTAAACCACTTTATGTAGTGTAATGATAGATTGACCTTTAAAGGTTCAAAGCAATTCAAGAGTACATGATTAGATTAACTACAAATTGATAAGACTACGAACGCAATGTTTATTGTTTAGATAGCACTACGTTTTCATAAATATAAAAAAAAGAATTAAATGGTCTAAAATTATTTGTCTATAGTAGGAATCGAACCCACGACCCCCGGCTTTTCAGCCATGGTCACTAACCACTAGTCTAAAAGGCTCGTCATATAAATACTACTCTACTTCTTCACAGGCCTGAAGCAGTATCTATGCTTTGCGATTTAGCTGCTCGTCGCCTAACTCCTGATGTGGGGGACGGTTCGCGATCTCCTTGTCTATCGCCACGCAAGTACCGAAAACTCACCAAGGAGAACAACCATTATGAACAGCCCACTGGTATGTACTTCACGTAGTATAAAACAGAAGCCTTTGCAGCTTTGGCTATGGGTAGACTTAGATGTATAGCCATAGATATAACCCGAGCTTTACTTTGGTCCTCCAGACTTGTTTTTTGTACGTTTAAAAACGGAATTATTTTATATCTACGTCAACATAAAAAAAAGTTATTTTTAAATGTATAGATCTTAATTAGGCATTCTTAAAAAGTTATAGTCAAGTTATTATTAATAATCTTTAAAACATATGTAATGTCATTTATTATTAAATTGAATGTCGTAATTAATACCTTCCATATAAAAGAAAATCTAAAACTTCCTATATAATTTAAAAATAGCATCTTTTCAACTAAACAAAACATTTAACTTTTTAAGCATTTAACTAATGGAAATTGCTATAAATAGATCAAAGGTGAGCCCTAACCCTTGTTTAATGGGTCGACACGCTAATAGATACTAAATTGACTTTAATACGTGATATTCTTAAGCTTAACATATTCAAATGTCTTCATAGTAGAGTAAAGCATTAAGTTTTAGAGCCTTTCCGTAACTGCATAATCTAATTGGTGACGTGTGGGATGTCCGTATCCGTATTCATATCCGGTGAGGGAAAAAAGGTATACATATCCGTAATTTGGCAGTATATTTTTGTGACTTTCTATGAAATGCCATATTGATTTTGTTAAAAGAAGATTTTATTGCAAGTAGTAATTAGCTTATATTTGACTGTCTTTTATAATGAGGTTACATCGCAAATCTTTGTGATGTGCGCATTAAAATAACGCAAATGCAGGCACACACTGTACTGTCGATATGTATCGTGCTATTCAGTGGTCAGCGTCAACAACCGATTCAAGATCACGCGTATCTACATTAACCGAGAAAAAGATATATGTATCCGTATTCGCCATGCTAGACATTAAAATAATTATGTCCGTTGATTTATATTTTTAACGGTCCGTTACATAACTAACTCTAATACCACTTGTACTCAATGTTATATATGTACACTGTAATGAAAACCTTCTCAATGCATCCTATGTATACAATAACCAAATCCAAATGAACCAAGTACAAATGGATTACCTGAACTTCATAGACGGAGCTAAATTATATTACGCGGTAGTCCATACTAAATTCATAATGGAACGAACATAATTATATGTGGTTCTGTGTTCATTACCTAATTTACATTAACATTGCAAACAGCGAGAGATCACGTGTGTATATATATAACACACGTCACATGTAACCAAAAGCTAGCTATACTTACACAGCCCAGTACCGAGCGCACTATGCTATTGAGCTAACTTTGCTTACAACGAACACTAAACACGTACAATATACACGCAACACACTAAGCGATGTAGGTGTTTCACGCAGATGTTCCAAGTTCCAACAAAGTAGAACACGGTTCGGAATATTCAGACAGCGTTCAGGAGCGTCGGCGGGCGCCGCGCACTGTGGCACTCGCCAGCCCCACCGCTCCACCCACTTGTAGAAAACAAAAGTTGAGCCTGACAGGTGAGACCACAGATATAGAAGCACGTGGATAACGCAAGTTGTCTTTCCCTCCTCAAAAAACTAATAGCGGCAGATTCATACGAATCCTATACTCTGAATAAAAACTTTGAAAAATCGCAGTTTCCCTGTTAGTTAGGCATTAGTCTGGAAGCTTGCGTTGTCTACTATGTCTGTGGGTAAGACGCTGTCGGCCCGCACACTGACCTCATACCCCATCGCTTCACACCCTGATCCAAAGCAGCGTATAAACTGACTCGGATTTAACCATACCAGGACTATGTTACACACCATCGTAGCAAACAGCACCATAGATGTTCTTCGGTCATTTGATATCGCCCCGAAGTGTTGTTAGCCTTTGTGCGTTGACTTTTCTACTTTATTCTCTCATTTGCACTCATAAATGTCAATATAGAGTACTGTTAAAAAGCGACGCGTATTCAGAAATTTAAAAACCCTTTTATAAAGTAATATTTCAGATGTCACAATTCATTTATGAATATTTCATCAGAATGGATTTGCAATTAGCATAACTTGCGAAATTTTATTATCCTTAGGTATTCAAATTCTAAATCAATACTTGAATAAATTTGATTTATTTAACTTTAACAGCTGTTTAAATAAGAACTCGACAACAGTTTTTCACCGAATCACAGTTTCAATTGTTTTTTAAGGTTTTAAACATTCGCTTATTAACAGTACTTAGTTGAGGAATGCCATGCAAGTATTATATGACAACATGTTGCAATATTACAGTGCCTCCACACGGTTACGAGTTAAACAACCTGGACAACGACACATTGGATGCGCCAAATGTTTACCAGGAAGACATGTCTCGACAGCGGTATAACGAACCAGTCTTTTCTGTTGACTCTGATGAGCCAGTGTCGATGCCTGTAGAACTCTCTAGTGATGAAGCAAGGTTTAAACATGCCAACCCTGCCTATCAAAGCGCTGTGCTTACGAGTGACGGTCATACGACTTCTGACGGTCACAAGGATGACGGTAAGATCTTATCTAAACATTTATACATTTATTGAAACAATTTATCTACATTTTTAGCAGAAAATATGCGGGTACTTAATATAATAAAGATGAAATAGTTCCTAAATAAACCTATTACGTATTAAAATGCACACGGAAAGATACCCAAAAATACTTAAAACTATAATATTTTTGCCTACAATATCAACAGATACAACTTGAAATCATTAGGATACCATACAACTTCAGATAGAGAAATTGAATGTTTCGAAACTTTTACTTACTAACGTATTACCCGATAACAGTATACGTTTTTGTAAAAGTTACAAAGTAAAGTTTCATAAATAGCTCGTAGTGTTTATGCTTGCGTTTTAGACGAAGTATTATACTACAAATTGCAATATAAATAGTACGCGTGTCCAACTACATTTACATTCTCAAAATATTTAAGAGTACATCCTAAGTATGAATTCTGTGAAACAGTAGTAAAGACTATACAAGAACTACGAATCAATAGATAAAAACAGTGTTTTAGAAAATTGAAACAAACACCAATGTTGTTGGCTTGGTAATAAATATCTTATGAGTAAATTTAAAATGTAGGAATATATTACTCTAGTCGAACCGGCCCGTAAGTGCCAAAGCATGTCTTTTACGGTTATTAGTTAACCCAAATATGCATGTAGTTATGAACTATATGCTTGTTTTATTACAGATAAAGGTTTAAAGAAATGGAAAGGTGTAGCATTGTCACCAGATAACGAGCGGAAGAATCAGGTGCCTCAGAAGAATCTACCCGTGGAACCTTCCATTCAACCAAAACCTAAAGAGATCGAGATCGTCCAGAAAGAAAATGTCAAACCTGAACCGATTCTAGATAACACCAGCAGCGAGCCTACGGTAAAATCATTATTCTTATTTTTTAAAATATTGTACCACGTATACGTGTGTCAAAACAAAAACGTCTTTTAGGATTTGCCAAATAATCTTAAACAGGAATAACTCTTCTCATCTTATCTCGGAATTGTATGTCGATAAGCTTGCCCGCTTTAGTGGGACTAAAATTATAGTTGATAAAATATGGGCGTTCAATGAACGCCTCTGTCTACCCCTTCGGGTATATAAGACTAGAATTATAAGAGACTAGCTGGTGTCCGCAACTTCATTCGCGTGGGATTTTGAAAAGCGCTGAATTAGTGGGTTCGCTTCCCAGACCGTTCAAAATTTTATAGGGTTCTTCTGAGAGAAAAACTAGTCTAAGTTACTCCTTATATAGACAGCTACCTGGTTGTAAAATATTATCAAAATCGGTACAGCCGTTTTGAGGATTACCCGGAGCAAACAGAGAGACAGACAAAAAATATTTAGACTTGTTTTTAGGCATAGGTATCGTGTAAATAACCGTGTGAGCATGAAAAAATCCTATTTTGACATTATAAACAGACACTTTAATTTTATTTATTTGTATAGGTAATAATAATAATATCCTCGCATATCTCACACACGGCCTTCTGAAACCAAACTAGGAGAGCCTGTGCTATGGTCACCAGACCGCAGATAAATATACTTTTTTATTTCTAAATACATGCATAATATAGATGAATAATAACAGAACAAATGAACGTGCTCATAACACAACTATTTGTCCTGGCTTAGAATCGAACTCACGACCTCTGGCTTAGCAGTCAGGGCCACTGACCACTAGAAGCACCGTAACAGGCTAGTCAAGAATGTATGTATGTATGCTAAGATTACTTACTCTTATTGGTAATCTAGTATCGTATCATAGACGACTCTCCAAAAAGGATCCAGTTTTTTATCATTGAGTCTTGTAAGATAATGTGATACTAAGACTTTGCAACTCTCATTCTAGATCGTAACAGTAGAGTTAAACCGTGGGTGGAATAGCCGGCTTGGGTTCAGCGTTCAGTCACATCCGGATTCTGGACAAAGCTATATCTCTGCTGTTTATAGCGACAGCGTCGCTGCTAGAGATGGACGTTTGCGTCGCGGGGACGTCATTCTGCAGGTAAATAATATATTTGTTAATAATAATATAACAAATAAAAAATAGTTTATTTGTTTATGCCATCACACCTCATTAACCCCCTTCAAAATGATACCCACTGCTGATTTCACTATAGTTCATTCTCGTTAAGAAAATACTGACGCAATAGTCTCGCACCTTAACCAATCAGGTTCCAGACTTTCGTATGAAATGATAATTTATTGTAACCTTTGAGGGGGGAATTGTTCAGAGGGCTTGATCGAAGCGTCATTATTTTCTTAACGCGAATGTAGTAAAGGGCTGGATAGTTGGCGCTCTACTACTGTGCACTTTTCGAGACACTTTTTGCCCCGCACAACCAATCTGCGGAACGGGTTATCGTCTGCGATACTTCCGGACCGATACGGCCTTCAAACCTTCAAGAAAAGAGCGTACTCCTTCCTAAAAGGCCGGCAACGCATTTGTGACTCCTGAGTTGCAGACGTTCATGAGCGGCGATCACTTTCCATCAGGTGTCTCGTCTGCCCAATCTAACATAAAAAAAGGGCTGGTTGATTTTTCCTTAGACTTTTGGTTGTGTTGTTAGAAAGTTACAGAAAATTATAAAAGAATCATGTACTACTTAATTAACTGTTCGTTGTTCAAACATAAAGCATCTATCAGATTATTAATAAAGTCTGATAAAATATAAAACAGTAAAAATATTATCTTAAAAAGGTTTCTCAGAGATCAGTCCTAAGATCATCTATAATATCAAAATAAATTTAAACTGTATAAAATGCATTACAGGTGAACGATGAAAATGTAACATCAATGAAGACACCAGAAGTAATTGATCTGCTCAGAATATTGCGAGGATCAATTTGCATCACCGTTCTTCGACCACCGAACGCACAGTGAAAAAATAAAAACTATATTTTGGAATGAAAGCCACTCTCACGGGCGTTTGTAAGAAGCGTGTTGCCAAAAAAAGGTATACATAGAACTCAGATCGATGTCCAGTCGAAGGCAGAGTAGGTATTTGAAAGAGAAAGTTAAATTTTAGGGAAGATAATAAAAAAAAAGAATGAATTTCTAAAAGAAACTAATACATCGTCGATATAAACTGAATATATCTTCATGACATTATGCGCCTTAGCTTAAAGATTTAAATCCATTGTTATCAACACCAATATCATAATATTTAAGCTTGAATCTTATAAATTGTTGAGAACGATACTTATTTACACGACATAATAAAATTTTCATAAGTTGCATAGTTTAAATGATGATTTATCAGTATAATAGGAATGAGTACAGAGAAATGTTGATTTACTTAATGTATTTTTTATTAAAAAAAATAACTATTTGTAAATCATAGCATTAGTTTTTTACGAATGTAAATAATTCATGATGTTTTGTTACAGTTCCTAATACGTTGTTGATTGTGCTAACTTCTGCCGTCGTAATCTTTTATCACATATACTTATAGATGTTACCTAATAAAATAATTTATTTTCGGAATCGATCTCTTAAGTTTCTCATAGGAAATAAAGAAATATAAATCTATTTAAGAATACTATCTTTATATTCATTTATGTCTTTCACCCGACCAATATAGATAGACACTCAGAGATAAGGAAAAAAAACTATTTTCTTTTAATACATCAAAAGGTAATAGGCTAAATTTATTTACTATATAATTATGAATTATTATAATTATTGACTACAGATTTTAAAATTTTACATTAGGAAATAAATAAATCGAGTAGAAATTTTAAATACATATGCAACAAGATGAGGCTAATGGCGGCCTATATTTGTAAAAATGTAATGTCCCATTATTAATAAAAAGTAGATGATGTAGTAGAGACTATGGAAATGTCATGCATTCCAAGAGGTTAGCCTTTGTAAATAATGTAAAGTTGAAAAAGACAAGTAGTCGTTGTTACGCGTTGTGGGCAATTGTCAAAATATAAGAAAACGGTTCAGTTTACTGTGTTACCTTACAATATTCCTTTGCTCAAATATATTATTGTAGACATACTTATAGGACAACCATTTTGACGATTGCCGTATCGCAATAACCGTGTTTTATAGTAGTTGAACAGAATAATTATAATATGCCTGAAATATACATTTTACTCAGTGCATATCTTAATCTGAATTAGAATCAAGTTCTCGATACCTAAGTGTGAAGTTTGATAGTGAAAGAAAACAATAGGAACGACAAACTGCTATACTACTATTAGTATGACATAATGTGTCATGTCTCGCTTTTAATCAAAGGTAAGACACGTCTCTTGATAGTTGTCTATGGAATAATTAATCTATTACGGTATGACCGGACTATGACCAACAAAAATAAAAATGACCTTGACGTTATATGCTTCGAAGGACCTTTAAACAACATTTTAGTTAAATCGCTACTAAATATAAAGCATTATAAGCTAAACTTTCTCTAGGCACTGATTATAAATTCTAGTCAAATCTAAATTTTAATTGAAATTATTACACAGTTAGCCTTTGAGATATATAATATTTACGTAAACAGTAGTTAAATTATATTCTTACATAAATTAAATATTATACAATATTCACTTCTTTGATTTATCATAAGGTGTCTATTTGTTATGAACTTAAAAGATTTTATCAACAAATCTATTTTAATATAACTAGATATAAGTTCATAGAATAATGGTTTAGTAAGTATATATGAATCCTTACAGATAAATGATGCTGAACGAATCAATCAACTGATATTCTAAAGTTATTGTGATGGAATTGTGTTAGTCTAACCGTGTAACATACTCTAGAGTTATTTGATGTATTATGCAACAAAGTAGGTGCAAAGGCCCAATGTAGTGATTATAGATCAGCTCCTTGCCACAATATGTATATTCATCTCATTCATAAACTACATTACAATTAATCAATATAGGTTTTGAATCTCAATTTAAAAATAGATAGACCAAAATCACTAGAAGAAGCTGTTGAGCACGAAATTATTCCAGCAGATATGCTTGAGACTATCGCTTTTGCTATGTGTTATAGTAATGACAAATTCACACTGAAAGTACAAAAAATAGGCAAAGTAATAAAAATACTTCCTTCAATTGTTTACGATTTAGTTTATGTAACCATTTAGCGTTATGCCATTCCGATTATGATATGACCCTATGAATAACTTGACAGAAATCAGTATTGAATTACATGCATAGTTATATATTTGTTTAAAGTATTTTTTTTGATGTTTCGAATCAAATTCAAAGTATTCAATAATCTAATAGATAATGTTGTTACTGAGTTCATTCTGAAACTGCCATCATACACATAATTATAGAATAATAAAGCACTTGATCTGTCTTTGGCAACGTAAACAGCTACTTAGAATTTGCCCATTAATTCAAAATAAACTGTGATAATGCAAACTGTTTTGCTATTCTAAAATATCTGATATCATGTGGTAAATATTGTGAAGATGTGCCCGGAAATTGCATGCTAAAACTTTCTAACATCAATCATCTCAACTTGTATATATAGGTATTTAAAAAATTATATACCTGTTATACGTAACCTACCTATTTTAAAAGTGTTTTCTTATCACTTGTAAGTTAGCAATGCGAGTTTGCTTGTAAGCTAACGTTGAACGTTGTGAAAGACATTGTAAAATCGATACATTTTAATATTTGACTATTTATTACTCATAATGAATAGTAAAAAAGTCGATATTCGTTGTATTCGTGTATTTTATTTGCAACACTAGGCACTTAGTAGGTAACAAATGATATAAATAATATCAGCTAGCCATAGCTAAGCTAGGCCAAAGCTTTTCTACTCACAGTTTAACAATGATATATCTCACACACAGCCCTCTGATCCCAAACTAGGCAGAGCTTGTGCTATGGTAACCAGACTGCTGAAAAACATACTTACGTATTTAAAAAAAAACATATTATAGATAAATTACACCCAGACACAAAACAAATGACCGTGCTTATCACACAATATTTGTCAAAATGTTTATAAAGTTATAAAATTAGGCTATCTCAACTCCTGCTTGCACTTTACATTTTAAGAATTAAACAAAACAAGATTTCATTCAAACAAAAAAAAACAAAACAGTAACAAAACGAAGGGTTATAAAATTTATGATAGTAAGTTTTAAATTTCTCGTTCCATCATATACTCGTACTCGTATATCCTACATACCTAACAGGAAACAATGAACCATGACCAGTGCAACCTTGATGTCATGTCATGTAATTCACAGGAATTTAACACCTATTACGTGACTGTCTTAATTTCCGTTAGTAAAGAAAATTATAATATATGTTAGGGGCAGTAAGATCTTAAGTAACTTCTAAGTAGTCAAGAGAAAAACAGGACTCTCCGTTAAACGCTTATGTCAGTGACAGATCAAATGAAAACATAATATGACTTCATTTAAATATATGCATATGTATACAAGGTGAATTTGAATTCGAGAAATTTCTTCAATTCACTTAAACTGCTTCAAAGGTATAAATACAATGATGCTCATCGTATTACTAAAACAAGGAGTCTATGTAATGTCGCGTATTAACGTGATAGCATAAATAGCTGTGTGACCATATATAAAATAAACATGATTGGAGAACAATGTTATAACCTAAAATTTGTAACATCCAATGCGTCGCCACTTTATTTGTAATCACGCTATATGATAGTATACGTAACATGTAATGCGGTGTGACGACGCGTCGCCATGCGCAAGGTTCTCTGCGACTCTCTCACGCTGATCAACAAAGTGTTTTTAAACCGTTTGTTTTATAGCCTTACAAAACAGCAGCAGATTATTAGAAGTTATTTGAATTAAAATTCACCTTGCACTTTGTGCTGCTGGATTATTGCACGGCGCTTACTAGTCTCTTATGCCTTTTGGCTCGGGGTTGTAGTCGTTATGTGACGTTAATATTATTAAATCAAGTATTGTCAGTCATAGAATGTTAATGACATGTACGATAAACTTAATTACCTTACTATGATACGAATAAATATGAATAAAATTATTTTGGTGTATTATTTACTAGTACTTCCTGTTAATTTACCAGCTATCCAACCCTGTCAACATTGATTTATTTTTCATTTTATAAACTGTCTTACTTCGTATCCTTCTATGAAAGGAGACAGAAAAACACAATAATATATGTACAACAACTATAACCGAATTAAATTCCTTCAAAAATCTTCATAAACAATATTGATAACACTCGTGTTTGCTGATCTCCTTACAGTGTTTTTCATCGTTTTTAAGGCCAGTAATTGTCTATTAATATCTAATAAGCACATTTACTTTATAAAGTCAAATGTGCATGACTGCGTATCGAAATTGAAATGTCGTTATAACACAATGGTTTATAGGCGACTCACAACGCGGTTCAAGCCTGGCCAGATTATTGTTTTTCAGTTAAAGGAAGCTATCCTGGAATTCGTCACTGTATTAAAAAATCTTCTTTCATGTATTATCTAAATGGTTCTAAGCATTTACTGTGGTACGCCTATTTTAATATTTATTTTTAAATTCGACAGTTACACTCATCATTTTAGATTCCACACTTTCTGTCAAGCGTTTAATAAAGAGAGCAAATGTTCTAATCGAACGGTGTTTATGTAACATCATAAATCATATTACTATGGAACATGCCATTAACACCAGTTCTTTTTTGTAACTTGCCACATTGCGTGCAGGGAAAATGTAAATTAGCAAGATCTATTGATATAGGTATAATGGGGAAATTTTAACAAAATCGTTGCGTTTTTTCATAAGTTTTAAGTTCTAAAAGTTGGGCTTTTAGTACTGCAAAAGCTGTTTAGAGTAAATAAGTAAATTTAAATTTGGGGGACTATAGCTCAGTAGCCAACTAAAAAACCTTTTTTTC